AAGGATCATGCTTTCAAAGCACAAACACTGTACCCGTGGGGACAGGTCCTGAGAGCTGCCTGTTAGGGTTGTGGTGCTCCACACTCAGTCCACAGACTTCAGTTGGAGATGCCCTCTGATTCGAAGTAAGCTAACCAAATCCACAACACGATGCACATCAAACTGTGTAAGTGTATTTTAAATGTACTTTACAGGGACGCTGGACCCGATTTCCAGCAGGTGTTGCTCCCCACCAATAGACGGAGCCTCCCGGACACTACTAGTGGTGTCTGATCATATCAGCACCCGTAGTAGCCGCTCGGGCTGTTTCTTTCTTTCAAAAAAAAAAAAAAAAAACCACCCACCTCTCCTGTAACAAATTTATAAATTATATTCAGAAATTGTTGCCACACCAATCTCCTCTATTCAGAGACTATATGGGTCCTCCGGGACATCCGTTAAAATTGGAACGATACAGAGAAGATTAGCATGGTCCCTGCGCAAGGATGACACGCATAAATAGAGAAATGCTCCAAATAAAAAAAATAAAAATAAAAAAAATTGACTATATGGGATCGGATATTGTACGATAGCCACTGATTGATTCATCTGACCCCAAAAGAAATTATTGGGGAAAAAAAAAAAAAAAAAAGAGATGGGTCTCCTGGGGCGAGGTCCCATTAGCAGTCGGATAGGAGTGTGCCCAATCCAGTGTGACAAGTTTATTACGAATTTCTGGGCTGAGAAAACAGGAAGAAGGCCAAAAAAAAAAGAAGAAACAGAGACCTCCCACCGGAAATCACAGCAGCGCGCTTCCCAGCCATCAGATCACAAATGATCTGATGGTGGTGGTTGCAAAAACAGTGAAAAAAGTAACCGCCACGACTTCTGACAAGAGTGATCCTGACACCCTCCATATACTCCGTGATTGAAGGAGGGCTCCACCCAATGAGATAATTTCACAACAGCAAGTAAAATGCTGAAAATCTTCTATCCAGTGGGCTAAGGCCGACCCCAACCTCGTTTGGGGTTGGCCACAGCCCCAACCGATTGAAAAGATTCTGGCGGGAAGCTGTCTTTGCACCGGCAAGCCCAGTGTTAAGGAGAGGAGGAGGGGAACCAAGATCTCCTTATTTTTTCGGGTAATACATGTAAAATACTGACGGTGGGATCACCAGTAGTGCACGGCAGGATTTGGGTCACTCGACTGCCCCACAAACTCGTTTCTATCCCATCCCGTTGCTAGTGGGACCTCGCCCCTGTCTATTTTTTGTAGGGTATGCGATTTTAGGACACGTCCTCTTCTCTTTTTGTTTTTCTTTTTTTTTCGTCTGGGGAAACTACGCCGGAGTTGCAAAAACGAGTTATAATTGCAGTATGGGCCAAGATACAGTTTGCAATTGCAGTTCGGGAAATGTACACAACGCAGCTTTCTGGCCAGGTAGGGTGCCCGAAATGCAATTGCAAACTGTATCTTGCCCCATATACTGCAATCATAACTCTTTTTTTTTTTTTTTTTTTTTAAGTTGCCCCCTTTCCGTCCAAGGCAAGTGCTGCTTCTTGTGGAAAAGAAGGGAAGTCTCCTTTTGGCTGTTGTGGAGGCCCGGCTTCCTTTGAGGAAAATCTTGGAAGTGAGTCTGTGGAGCGCAACCCCTAACCTTTTTTTTTTTTTTTTTCGAAAGGTCCT